AAAGTTAGAAGAAGGTGATGATTTTTTAGATTTAACAAGTCTATATTAAAGGATTATGAAGAGATGCTCAAGAAAAATATTTTCATTGTAGAAACTAGAAAGTGCGGGAGAAGTTTGTGTAGGAAAAATTCATACCAAGTAAGGAATTCATAAGTGTGTCCCTAGGTTTTATGTATGTTTATGTAGTATGAACTGCCACGTTCATGCATAACTAGTAAACAACATATAACACTAGTAAACAAATCTAAGGAGGATGGTTAAATTTGTTGAGTGTGCTCCTCGGTTGATGGTTAAAGTTTCTTTCTAAAGCATGATAGGAATTGAATAGTGTTCAACAACATTTTATGGAATGTCGACAACTTGCTATTAGTGAAATGGGCTAGTCCACACAGGGGAGAACTTTACGCCGCTCTTATACATACGTTATGTCTTTTTTCTAGAGTTATATACGTTATGTCTTAAAGAATGGAATATTCAATTCCCCGCTTAATTTGCATACAACACCTATCATGAATGATGAATCTTACCAACTTACTTTTCCCATGTATGTACAACTATTTAAGATACTCTCATGCTATTGGAATTTAAAACGAGAAAATGCATGCATAATGTATGAGAACCCACATGCATTAAACATAAAATGCAAAGAGGATTTGACTAAATGCATTGGAAATATCAATATGAGTTGAATTGACTAAATGCATTGGAGAAATTAAATGAAGTAAATTGTATGGATAATACTCTCAAAAAGAGGCACAACAGAGTTTTTATATAAACAATTTAAAAAATGCATGAAGATGTAATCTTAATCACTATTTTCAACTCATTTAAAGTGTGATTATTCCCGAATGTATACGAACGAGTGCATCCGCTATGAGTGGAATTTGCCATGTATGCCATTTAAGGACATAGGAAATTAGAAATACTAAATAAGTACTCGATCGGCATTAAATTAAAGCAATGTTCATACAATATCAATGTGCACAATGTATTGACTAGTTGTACAGAAGGATAATAGATGGTATTTGTAGTATGCAATCTAGTATCAAGGTATTTATATTTTGTGTATTCATTAATTTTCACGTAGTTGGCTTCATTATTGTGTTATTTTCTTGCTAGCTAGTTCCAAACAATTTGAGATATGATAAACAATTTAACTAATAATAAAGAAATGCAATCATATAATTATCAATTTACAAAAACAATGATCAGACTTCGTCTGATGAATTAATAATTAATTAGCTAGTTTTAATGCTTAATTAATAAACATATTTATTATTTAATAAAAAAAGCTACTTGTTTCTTAAATTAAAATTACGAAATCTAACATGAGTATGTGCTAAAGAATAGTTTTTGTGATTATGTTATTCACTAAAACGTGCTTTTATTTCTGAGGAAAAATGAACAAGAATAATCCCAACTATTAGTGATTCGTTTAAAATAATCAAAAGTATCAATTGTCTCAAAATAATCTCAACTATTTGAAAAAAACTTCTCAAAGTACTCCATTGGCTTGTAAACATTATAAACAATTTAGGAGTTATTATAAGTCACTGGAGTATTTTGAGATATTTTTTCAATAGTTGGGATTTTTTTCAATACTTGAGAATTGAGATTATTTCTAGCAAATCACTAATAGTTGGGAATTGGGATTATCAATGTCCATTTTTCCTATTTCTAACTTAAACGGCATATTTATCTTATATACAAATTGTGTATGAATTACACCATGTTCTAACCACATAACGTTTATACAATAATATCACATATTTGTTAACATGCATTTGGATTTTCGTGTTAAAAATTAAATATAATGATGCCTATAGTGAACTTTACGGTCTCTTTTACTTTTTATTTGAATGGTCGTTTATCATTAGTTATTCTTTTATCATTCAAATGTTTTCTCTTATACTTTTACAGTTCAAAGCTAGACGCCCACACGAAGCCTCCTTTTTACCTGGCAGATCTGCTGGGGGTGTGATTTGTAGAGACAGGCGAGGAGGCTTCGTGAGGGCGTTTCACTTCCCGATGAATGCTAACTCCAGTCAAGAAGCGGAATGGCAAGCTATGGTGTGGGCGACGAAGGCAGCGACTAACCTGGGACTTGTTGACTTTCAGGTTGAAACAGACTCAGCTCTTTCGTTGCTCAGGTTTGCGGACAACGTTGAAGGAGATAGATCGGTTAATGAACTGAAGAATTATGCTATCCGAAAGGGTATAAGCTTTGGTCATACGGTCAGAGAGGGTAATTGGGCTGCCCATGCGTTGGCAAATCTCAATCTGGGCCATATTACTATGTTCACCAGGTTGGAGGAGCTCCCTGGCTCTGTTCAGAAATATTACTATACTGATTATTTTGGTTTTCCATATTTTAGATTGTAATCGTTGTTTTTCCAATGGGTGAGGTATAGCCCCCTCATTGGCTTTTATGTTTTTTTATTCGTATTTTTTCGGAGGTTTTGGTCTGGTCCCCCTCTTCTTTTGTATCTTTTTACCTGCTTTTATCAATCAAATATGGCAAACGTCCCCCGGCGTTTGCCCCACTGATTTTGGTGGTTGGCCTTCCGGGGTAAAAAAAAAACTACAGTTCAAAGCTAGACTTAAGCAGGTTAGATTAGAACAAATTTAAATAGATCGTATCAGAACTAAATAGTAGTGATATCAGAACTAAATAGTAGTGAAACACAGTAGGCATTATTTACCCGAACAAGAAATGCTCAAACAAATTAGATTAGATCAGACTAAAACAGATCATATCATATCATAAATTTTCAGCTTAAGTGAACCATCCCTAATTCACCGCCTAATGTTCTCAATTCCTCACATATTAGCTACCCTACTTTCCCCTTCTTCACATTTCGTCTCAGGTAACACTTCTATATTTCACCCTAGAGAGAACGACATATGATGAAAATGACATTTAAATTAAACGAGTATTAATTTGAATCCACCCGAGAAAAAGAGTGCGGAATTGGAAAGTCCCGGTCTTCCAATCACCATCCCCATGTGCCATGCAAGAGGCAGATCGTCCGGATCTACTTACATCGAGTGATTTGATATTTTTAGATGTTAAAACTTTTTGGGAGTTAAAGTTTAATGCTTAGCTGTGTATTTGGCATGACAATACTTAACCGTTTTTTGCAAGTAAAAGATCTTTTTTAAAGCTACAATGAGTAATATCTGAGAAAAGCATGTAACTTTTAGCATTAATTAGTCACAATAATTTGTTATATGGAGTATTAAAGAAGACTAAATAAAAGAATCAGTTCTTTATCAAACATCTACAACCTATTTTTCTTTTAAGATATTTTCAGTTATTAAAAGCTAAAAGTTACTAAAAATTCGCAAAAGTGTTTTGTTAGCTAATTGTGTCAAACATATACCCTAAGCAAAAGAGCTACTACGTATGATTTCTTCGTTTTGTAAAGAAATTGTTGATGTCTTCGATTGTGTTGGTTTCAGCTTTAGAACAGTACAAACCATATCAGATTTAAATGATCAAATCACATTAGATCACGCTAGACCAGTCTTTGATAGTTGTAAAATACACATAAAACATACATGTATCAAATCAGATTCGACCAGACCAAACCAAATCAAAATAGAAAGTTCATTCCAATTAAAACTATTTTTTTTTTAATTTTTTTGGGTGCCCCAGGAAATTAATGTATATAGTGCCAAAATATATAGTGTAATTTCATTAACAATAATTTACTCATATCTAAATAAAAAATATACGGAGTAGTATTTGTATTTTGGAATTTCAACCTATATTATCCGTGCAAACTTTTCATTTTAGAATGTTTTTAGTTGGATTGTTTTTAATCATATACCAAACCAGATCAGATCAAACTAAATTTGGAAAAGATTTGACATCTATTAAATCAGACCATTTTAGACAAGACAAATCAGTTCAAATTAGATCGACTATACAAGACTAGAAAAATTATAAACCTCTTTAATGGTGGTTCTACCTCATGCATTTACCCTATAAAAAATACGGAGTAATGATTAATACTCCGTAATGACTAATGAATAGGAGACCCTATATGCTACACCCGGTTGTATGTACATCCGTGGTCCAATTAACATAAAAGCCCATTAAGAGATCTAGCCCATAACACACCTGGCCCCAATTTTTACCGGGTAATATCGATAACCGAAAAACAGAGCCTGCGATTTAAACATATCAAAAAACGGAAAAGTAACTTCTCTCGAACTACCTTCTGAAATTTCTTCGAAAACGACGCAAGCATTCATACACGCCGTATTAAAGCTCGAAAAACGATGACAGCCTCCAAACAATTGTCAACTTCGCGGAGTTGTTCGTAGAGTTGCAGAGCAACGACAAGTTAAGAACAGAGGAAGAGTTTGAGCAGCAAGTTGTTTCTGTTTGAGCATTGAAGCGAGTGATGGACCTACTATCCGAGTATGAGATGATGAAGAACGCAGATAAGCATGAAACTCCAGAAGGATCAGAGAGGTATGTAATATTATAGTGTTCAAATTTGTATTCAAGTAATGATTCAACAATATACTTGCATGTTTCGAAAATTATAGAAAAAATGAAATGATTTTGACAAATCTGAAGCAGATTATGAATTTGATGCATGATATGTGTTTATTAAGTATATCATTTGAGGTTTTGTTCAAAATACGAAGGTTATTGCTCATTTTACTCTACTTTAGGTCATATGCATTACTAACTAGTTAGAACATAAAAGGAGGTATACTGTAAATGCAGAAAACATAAAAGGAAGTATACGGACAATGAAAAATACCTATTCCAATAATGATCAAACTCTGCAACAGTCTGACAGAGTTTCAAAACATGATCAAATAAAGCCAAAAAGCCTTCGTCATTCCTCAAATCTCGTATATGTTTTTTAGAATTTTCAATTATGTGCCATATACAAAGACGATGCCTTGAAGAAGGAAAGACTTTAACTATTGCAGCAGACATGGCGGATGACTGATCTGTCATAATAGTTTTCGGATGCACAAAATCCATTGAATTCAGAAAAGTAGTGAAAAGCCATTCAAAAGATTCAATTCTTTCATTGAGAAGAAATCCACAACCAAACATGCATGTATGGGTGTGATGGTTAATTCCTACAAACGGTCCACATATCATATCGTATTTATTAGTACGATAGGTCGTATCATGAATAACTAGCTCACCAAAGGATAGATAATCTTCCTTCATTTTCTTATCTCTCCAAAAGAAACTGACTAAAGAACCATCCACATCTATCTCAAAAGAGAAGAAGAAATCTTCTTCATTTGACTGCCTATTCTTAAAGATGTTAATCAGGGTATTGGCATCAGAACCATCAAAAGATTTCTTGACCTGTTTTGTCAATTCGTTATATGCATCACGCAAGAGAAAACCAACCGAAGGAGATCCACCTGCTTCCGCTTGCAAACATCGAAATCCATCAGCTATCTTGACTCCTTGTTTTTTCAAATGATGCAAGTAATCTAACTCATTAGAAGAAATAGAACGATGAGATCTAACGTGATGAACTAATGAGTTTGGACAAAACTGATGATTATGGTCCATAAGGTGTCTGACAACAACCCACTCACCGCTAGATTTTATCTCAAAATAAATTCGTGCCTTACAATTAGTACGAATGTCAACTTTTGTGAATTGCTTCCCAACAACGCCTTTGTTTTTTTTTAAGCCTTGTTTAGTGCAGCAGAACTCCCTTCCCCTAAAGCCAGAACCACCATCCCTCTTTCTCAAAGTAGAGTACCTAACTCCAAAACCAATCCGAAAAGCATAATCATTATACAATTGAAATGCTTCTTCCTCTGAAAATACAGTTGTACCAAGCAACTCAGAAAATTCAGCTTCCTTCACTGATATGGTTTCAACAGAAACAGGATCATGACAAACTTGTACAGTCTCAAAACTAGATGAACGTTCAGCTGCAATAAATAAATAAAGGTAAAATAAACTAAAGATATAAAATTCAAGTAAAAGAAAGGGAAACAATGTACGTAAGAAATGAGCAATACTTGGCCCGAAAGAAAGAGATTCTGTTGCACAAAGAAGATTTTGGTCTTGACTGAAATTAACAGCAGAATCCAAGAAATCTAGATGAATGGAAAAACATTACAAGAACATCACAAAACAAAATTCAAAATATAAACAGATTGATTAAAGAAGAACAAAATGTATGAGTTGCAATTAGAAAGTATATTACTGGATTGAATGCCAACAATTCCGCCTCCAGAATCTATATCCTCAATTAATCTTCCACGGGGAGAAATACAATCTGCACAGAGTAAAAACAAAACAAACAAAACAAATGTAAACTCAAAACTGATCAACTAAATACTCAAAACATATCAACTAATGTAATGAATTAGTTCATAGAATAAGTACCTCCAAAATCAGCCATATGGTCGATAAGAATCTAAAACAGAAAAAAATTGAACTGAAACAACTTATAATAGTTATAACAGTAGCGACAACGTATAACAATACAACCAAAAAATAAGTTGAGTAAAAATAAAGATGATTACAGGAAAAGATAACTTCGATGAAACAAAAAAGAATTTGAAACGAAAGAAGGAAAAAACATATAAATGTAAAACGGCAAAGAAAACTACTTACCTAAATCGATCAGTGAAGTAAAATCGAAACTACGAATGGAGAAAGCTGCAGAAGAAAACCGGGAAGATCAATAACAAATAAACAGAAGAAGGACCGGAAGAACCGATCGAAGAACAAAATCTATGGCATTGCTACTAAGAAGCAATCCGCGGAAGAAGATGAAAGCTGCGAGACGACGACCAAAGGGAAAAAGCGAACAAAGGGAAAAAGAAGAAATAAAGAGGATAGAAGTTGCAGTTTATTACAAAATTACCTGGCTGTACCAAGAGGAAGGTACAGCCGGGTGTACCATATAAATTGCGAATGAATAGTGGGGCGCAATTTAAGTTCGTTGCCACGTACCACGAACGATCCGTGTGGCGAGGTCTGAACGGATAAACCGGAAATGCCCATTTTTGGGAACGATTCATTGAACGATTAGGAATGCCAGAAACAGACCATGGCTTCTTCCGTTGAAGTTCTTGACATCTCACCAAATACATTTAACTCCATTTTTAAATGTGATTTCCCTTTGTTTATTTAAAAAATTAATTCCTGGAGTATATATAAATACGCAGACACAACTCGAAAACACTGCATCATCTTCTTCTACCTCCCTCCTCCCTCTCTAATCTTCTATTTTTCCCCTACTGCAGTCTGCAAGTGGGGTTATCTTTTCTTCTTCAAAAACAGGACTTTTTATCTGGACTACTAATCTTGGCCGGAATTCCAATCTGGGTTTTGCTCGTCTTGTTGGAAAGTCCCATCTTTCTACTCAGTTTTCCGAGTTACCTTCTGAAAAACAGCAGACATGTCTACCCTTGTAAATCGCAGTGGTGAGTTCATCAGTCTCTTCCGTCTCTTTTGGGCTAGTTTAATTTATTGGAGTTTTGAAGAATTTATGTGTGAACTTGTCCTTGTTTGGTTGATATAGAAATTAATTCAAAATCTGTTTCAATTCTTTGTTGAACAATGTGCAAATGTGATGTGTGCTACCGGGAGTCAGGTGAACGAGAGAGAGAAGGGATTGATTGGGGTTATAAATTTTATGTTGTGATTTTATGATCTGTGTTTTTGTATACTCTAAAAAAGACATCTTATACAGGCCAAATGCAAAATAGTAGAAACTCAAGTAGGTATTAGGGCTGAATTTAGCTCAAATGAGCCACAGATCCAACTAAAAAAAACACAAATTTCAAGATTTGTCTGTTCCACTGATATAAGAATATAAGGTTTTATGTTGTGATTTGTGTTTTTGTATCCGTCCCATCTTGGATGGCTTAACAATATTTTAACCATCTGGAATAGTTGCTAGAATGCTAGATTCTGGTATATTATACTCTTGAATGTTTATGAATAAACATATTATTATGTGGCTGGTTATAATTCAAAAGTGTTCACATTTTATGATTCATTTGCTAGTCAATGTTAAGGTATGTAAGATCTAGGCAGTTCAACTAGACGAAAGATGCTAAACATAGTGACAACACTCTGGTTTTCAGGTGATGATGAATTCTACACTGGCAGCTCATTATGTTCTGCGGATTTAGGCCTTATCTTATCCCTCGGTTATACGGATGTTTACTGCCCACCTAAGAAGCGGGCCCGACTCCCTTGTCCGTTCATCGTTGAAGAACATGCAAAGAAACCATCAATTGAAATCCTTCCCGACGAGTGCTTGTTTGAGATCTTTAGGCATCTGCGTGGAAGTCGCGAAAGGAGTGCTTCTGCTTGCGTTTCCAAGCGCTGGCTCATGCTATTGAGTAGTCTCCGCAGTTCCGAAATATGCAAGGGCAGGGACCACCTATTTGAAGAAAAATGTTCTGAAAGAGACCACGATGGACACCTAACAAGGTCTCTGGAAGGGGAAAAGGCTACAGATATTAGACTTGCCGCCATTGCCATTGGGACTTCGAGCCGTGGTGGACTCGGCAAGCTTTCTGTCCGAGGGAGGAACTTTACTAACACTGGTCTATCAGCAATTGCACGGGGTTGTCCTGACCTTAAGGCCCTCTCCCTATGGAATGTGCCTTCCGTTGGAGATGAAGGTCTCATAGAGATCGCAAACGAATGCCATTCATTGGAGAAGCTCGATCTTTGTCAATGTCCTGTAATTTCTAGTAAAGGTCTAGTCGCAATTGCCGAAAATTGTCCTTCTCTAACTTCTTTAACGATTGAATCATGCCCTAATATAGGGAATGAAGGACTCCAAGCCATTGGAAGGCACTGTACTTTATTGCAGTCGATAACCATCAAGGATTGCCCTCTTGTTGGTGATCAGGGTGTTGCCACTCTTCTGTCATCGAGTCCTTCCGTCCTAACAAGAGTGAAACTTCAAGGTTTAAAGATCACAGATTTCTCACTTGCTGTCATCGGACATTATGGGAAGGCAATCTCGTCCCTTGCTCTTGGCTCACTTCAGAACGTGAGCGAGAAAGGTTTCTGGGTAATGGGTAATGCTCACGGTCTGAAGGCTGTAACTTCTTTGACGATCACTTCATGTAGGGGAACGACAGATGTTAGTCTCGTAGCTTTGGGAAAGGGTTGTCCGAACCTGAAACATACGAGCCTACGCAAGTGTTGCTTCGTGTCTGACCATGGACTGGTCGGATTCACCAATGCTGCTTCTGGAACCCTAGAAAGCTTGCAGTTGGAAGAATGCAATGGAATCACTCAAATAGGGGTTCTCAACGCAGTTTCTAACTGTCATAAGTTAAAGTCACTTTCTTTGGTAAAATGCATCAGTATAAAGGATATAATGACAGAAACACCCTTGCTACTGCCTCCATGCAAATCACTGAAGTCATTGTCCATCCGAAACTGTCCTGGCTTTGGCAGTACAAACTTGGCTATGGTGGGTAAGCTCTGTCCTCAATTGCTCCAGTTGGATCTCAGCGGACTTTGCGGGATAACAGATGCCGCTCTTCTCTCCCTTCTAGAGAGTTCCGAGGCAGGACTGGTCAAGGTCAACCTCAGCGGCTGCCTAAATCTGTCAGATGAGGTGGTGTTTGCCCTGTCGAGGTGGCACAGGCAGACACTTAAAGTGCTGAATCTTGATGGATGCATGAAGATGACAGATGCCAGCTTAGTGGCACTGGCTGACACCTGTCCCTTTCTTAATGACCTCGATGTTTCAAAATGTTCTATAACTAATTCCGGCGTGGCTGCTTTATCTCGTGGTATACAGATGAATTTGGAGATTCTTTCCCTCTCCGGTTGCTTTATGGTATCAAACAAGAGCGTCTCTTCCCTTAAAAAACTGGGGAAGAATCTGCTCGGTTTGAATCTCCAGCAATGTAAAGGCATGAGCAGTACTGCCATTGAACTTCTAGTGGAGAACTTGTGGAAGTGTGATATCCTTTCTTAAGACTATATAAGGTGTGCCGGTATGAAGTGGTGTCCCACATTGGAAAAAGAAGGGAGTATCTACCCAACTCCATACTTTGAGGCCATTTGGAAAGTATCCACAAACAAATCCATGCGGGCTTGGCCCAAAGGGGGCATTGAACTCAAGGGATTCATGGGTTAATGATACTCCAACGTCTGAGCTGTATGAATCATGAAGCTCTGGCATAAAGTTATCCACATGTCTTTTTTGCAGGCTTATCAAAAGTCCTGTTAGAACTCTTCAGGTTCTGGTACATGTGAATGCTGCCTCTTTCATGATCAAGTTTGGCTCTTCCAGTGGCCCATAATCGTTATAGTCCGTTTCAATTTATCGCGTTGGTTTTGCTTCCTTTAGTAACCTTGTAGTGGGATATCGAGAACTTGGTGTACCAAAGAATACTGAGAAGAGATGTAATGGTGCAGAGGCTATGGCCTGGCAACTTAGTTGCCATGACAACCCTTTAAGGTTGTTTTTTCCTGGTCTTTGTTTTTTGATAGGGCAAAAATCCCTGTTTTAGGAGGTTACTTGCTTCTTGTATTGTACTGTGCATCAAGTTTGTTGAAATGTATGTATTTTCGTAACCAGATTATAAATCCTGTGTTTGAGTGTAGCTATCCACATTGTAAGTGTATCTCCCTATAAGAGTTTAGGATACACAATTCTTACTCTCTTATGATATGTTTGGGAGTTGGAAGGGAAGAGAAGGTTTTGAAGGTTAGTCATTAGAAGGGAAGGGGAAGGGAAGAGGAGAAGACCCTTCTTCTTGTTTGGGAGTAACAAATTTTTAAAAATAGAAGTTATAAATGAGTTATAACTAAAATCACTTCACTTATATGACGAATTCAAATAGTTGAATTTATATTGATTTAAATTGAGCTAAAATTGTCATTTAATTAATGACGTTTCAAATCCCCCAATTTGGGGGAACTTGAAAATGGAGCATTTGAAAGGTTTTGGAGAGTGATAAAAGCCCTCCAAAACCTTCTCCCCCATATTTTTAACTTCCAAACATGATGGAGGTCACAAACCGTGGCCAACCTTTCCTTACCCTCCAAAACTCAACTCCCAAACACACCCTTAGGATATGTTTGAAAGTTTGGGGGAGGAAGAGGGAAGAATTTTGAAGGTTGATCATGAGAGTGAGAACGGGAGGAGAAGTGAAAGAAACCTTTACTTTTGTTTTAGAGCTGTAAATTTGAAAAAAGAGTGGCTACGAAGAATTTGTAATTAAAAATTTAAAATCACTTAAAATATATATCAAATTAAATATTGTACTTGTATATTCATTTACAATTGGACTAAAATTATCTTTTATTTTGTTATCTTTCAAAAAACATCTAAATCGGAGAATTTGAAGAGGTTAAGGAGTTAAAAAAGCCTTCCAAAATCATCACCTCCAATTTTTTAACTCCTAAACATGAAATGGGGGATCATAAACTATCATCAACCTTCACTTCTACTTCAAAACCTAACTCCTAAACATACCCTCAATTAGTATTTCGGTCATTTCTCGGACCAACTAGTTAAGTCTATAAATTCAAGCGGTTATACGAAAATGAAACTTCATTAAATGCAAAATCTTGAAGACATTCTACTCATTTCTAAAAGAAAGAAGATCAAATCAAGAAGTCACCAAAAAAGATTGGACACACGACATGTATAGCAGTGTTGTGTCTGTTCTAAGGTACTCCCAAATGCTAGGGTGAAAATCAAACATCGTCGTCAGCATCATTATTCCGGTGCCACAAAACCTCCATCTACTCTTACCCCTGTACTAAAGCATAAAAAGACTGTTTCCGGATGAGCCACAGTGAAAATGACGTCAAAAATTGAAAAGGGTAACAACAAAATCCGAACCGCATGAAAAACAATCTAAAGTGCAAGAAAATCGAAATCGATCTCAAAAATCAAATTGATACATAGTTGTTTGGTTTGTGTTTTGATTTTCACCTCTGATAAACGAACCGAACAAACCGAACTTTTTAAAACATGCTATTTTACTTATTAGCCATTAGGTATAATATTTTGTTGAACTCTTAATTCTTAGTTCTAAAAGTTAAGAGTCTGTTTACTAAAAGAGGTGTTTTTAAGTTTTCCAGAAAATTGAAATCAGAAAATTGGAAAACTGGAAAAGGGAAACCAGAAAACGTGCTTACCCGAAAAATATGTCCGGAACAATGGAGAAAGGAAAACAGAAAAATGCATTCATCAAATCATTTTCCAAAACTGAAAAATGAGATATGTCTATGTTTTCCATAGTGAATTGGAGAAGTGAGGTTTACTAGTTTTCCAAATTTGGAAAACATGGATGCTGTAGTACGCAGGCGACCTTCTGAAATGAATGTCATCCAACGCTACGTTTTAATTTTTGTATCTTCCCAATTCTTCTTCTGTAATGCGTCTTTATATGGATAGTTTTTGGACATATTAATGCCTAATGTTTAGACCCTTTATGTACAACGTTCTAATCCATTAAAACTCACTTAACAGTTAACACACAGCTAATTCATCCCTACATATAGCTGGCAAGTGATTCTCAACAACACACGAAATACACGGTTTGCACGTTGTTTCTCAGCTAAAATGCCTTTAACTTTCTTAAAATTCTTAATTGCTCATACTTTGTTTCCGTTTGCCGGAATAACCGATTGTGTGCTCATACGGTTGTTCGTAGTCACCATATCTCGGAAAACTATCGCTGCAACGCTCCTAGCACCGTCGAAGACAACAAATACGTTTTAAAGAAATTGTGTGCTGCACAAGCTTTGTCTTTCTGTCCCATTTTGTTTCTGTTTTCTTCCCTGTTTTTAATTAATTAATTAATTTCTTTATTTTCTGATTATACACACCAATTCACCCAACAATGTGTACACTTTTTATGCACACATTCCATAGTTGTTTGTGTACACATGCAATTCGTTCAAAAAAGGCAATAATTATCTGTATACACAAATGAATGTGCAAAAAGTGTACACATTTTATACACCAAGAATTGCTGATTTTATTCTAGTACTACTTTCATATCCCTAAGATTGGAGATCAAATATGAGAGAACAGTGCAACTTTTAAGAAATGTAGATTTATGTTATTGATATTAAATTGATTAAGTATCAATACAAAACTAAGAATCAGTTTGAACCACATGTCCACATAGATATTACTCTTGCAAGGATGCTTTAATTTTTAAGAGAGAAGCTTCTTAAAAAGAAAATATATTAGAAAAAAAGAAAAATTAGACAATCTTAATGAAATGTAATTTTGTAGTGTAAAAGAGGGAAAAAACTCGGTGAAAGGAATTGAATAAGTATCAAAACTAGGGGTGGACATAGCGGTTTGGTTTAGTCGAACCATACCAAACCAAACTAAACCGAACTGAAACCGGACCGTATGCAATTTGGTTTTAGTTTTGCAGTATTTCTTCCTAACGTATTAAATCGAAACCGAAAAAAACAAACAAAACCGAACCGAAATAAAGAAATTCAAATAATCCTTCATATTTTATTAAAAAACAACAAATTCAACCAAACCAAACCGAAAAATAGTACTACCTCCGTCCCGATGGACTTTGCCAAGTGCAAAGTAAGTGAGAAATAAAAATAGTAAAATCTGTGTGGTTGAGATTTGTGCAAAGGAGAGAGAAATGTGCAAAACCACAAATTAGTTGCTTTGATAGGAAAGTGACAAAGTTTTTTGGGACAACAAAAAATGAGAAGTTGGCAAATTTCAATGGAAGAGTATGGTTTTTGTTTGGTAATAATTCTCTCAACCTGTTTTAAAGCGAAACCGATATGCCTAGCCCTAATCAAAACTCAAAAGCACCAATGAAAGAAACACATGCAACACAGGAATTGATCGAGTGAGGTGCAACTTGCAAAGATGCCTTTGAACAGTGCAGTTAGCTTCTGTATGAAAAATCTCTGCATATTATGTAAGAGAAGAGACAAAACTAACAACTATTCTAAATAACTGTTCGCTTTGGTAAAGGCAAACGCAACGCTGCAATATTTTGTTCCCTTTCCTTTGGAGCCAGTAGTGAAAGAACTATAGAACATATAAAGTAAAATTGAAAAGAATCCCCTTACTCCTTTAGACGACTGTCATATCCTTGTACGCTCAAACCATGCCAGGAAAAAGAAATCACAATCAAGGCAAGAATCCAACTCGACTCGACCCTTCATTGCCATTACCAAACTGATGATAAGGTCTAATCATTAATAAAGCAACATGAATAACAGTTATAGTAATAATAATATGATATGCTCCGGCCGTATATTACGATCATAATAAAATAATGGACAGTGAATTTTGTGTGTGTTATGTTTATGTTATGTTAGATCATTGGAATAGAAACTACTTCCTACCGTATCAAAACCAATCAATAAATATCACTTAAAATATTTGTTCCACACCGGAAAGGTATACAACAACAACATCCAAGTCTTAGTCCCAAACGATATTGGGGTCGGAAAGGTATAAAACAATAAAAAATTATATAAAATTTTGGACTCCTATCAAATTGACCTTTTGAAATGGAATCAGAGCCTGATTCACTGATTGTGGTTTGAGCGCTTGTTTAGCACCAATGATTAAGAATAACTCATTAAGAGTTTGACTGCTTGTACAACACCCATAATTATGGGCAACTTGTTAAGGGTCTGTTTGACCCATTTATACTACCAATATTGTCCAGACTGGTTCAAACTAAGGGGACATGTTAAAGTATTTGTCTCACACTAGAAAAGTATAAAACAATAAGAGCCCGTTTGGTAGCACCAAAATCGGCTGTTTTGGCTGATTCTGCTGAAATTTATGATATTCTGGCTGGAGTGGCTGTTTTGGCTGATTCTGCTGATTTAAGAAAAAAATATTTTAAAAATATATTTTATTAATAAATTAAAGAAAAAATTATATGTAAAAATAGCTAAAATGGTCCTCTACAGTAACTTCAGCCAATACAGCCAGAAAAGTAACTCCAACCTTACTTTTTCGGCTTATTACACAATTCAGCGCGCGAAAGTAAAAGTTACGTGTTTGGTGAAAAAGCTGGCTGATAAGCCTGATAAGCCGAAAACAGAGTTCTCCAAACGGGCTCTAAAATACTATATAAGATTTGAGTTACCCCTTCTATCAAGTTTGACTTTTTATATTGGAACCTCAGATCATAACAATATCTAATACTCTGTATTTCTATTATCATTGCTAATAAAATATAGTCCTGCTTTATGTACTAGCCTGTATTTCATGAAGAAAACCGATTTTCACACAGACAAGAAAAAAATTGTCAGTGTCACAGACAATGAATCACTTCTTTTTTACACGCCAATCAAATTGTTTGTGTCATAGACTGACACACAATTTAAATTGTCTTTGATAGAGACAATTGTTGTTTATAAAGAGCATTTTCCAATAAAATATTGGTTGTTGGATAACACTCGAGTAAACTGTCTATCATTATTAATAGAGGATATGTGAACATAAGATTACAGAGTAAAATCTTGTTGCATCATTGTTGAATCTTGTGAGTCTTGATCATCTGCTACGGTCCTACACTTGACAAACCGCCCATAAAATGAGAGTGAGAGACCCTTTTTCCTTCTCCCAAAAACACACCAAATACTCTGAACTTATTAGCACCATTTATAGTGTTGACTAATGTGGTCAAAGCAGAGACTGGACTGATGGCTACCTCAAAAGTCTACCAAATTGTGCCCAAACTTCCTCTAATTGTGCTTCTCATCTATTCCATCGCATGGCTCCCTTCCATTTCAGGTAAATGGATAGATAAGCTGGTGGGAAAAACCCCAAGTTGTAGAAGTTGGGTTTTCAGAGTAGGAAGATGGGAGGGAGGTTATTTTTCTTTTTAAAGAATTCTATTGATTATAAGATATAAAGTAGGGATTATAAGATAACTTATAAGTAGTACATAGTATAAGTTATACTATGGGTTATAAGTTATTTAGGATTTGTCACTAAAAAGAAGTACTATATTTTCTTTCTGAATAGTACGAGTAGTAAATACCATTACATTAATATAATTTCAGTATGATGGTGACTTGATCTTTTAATTTGAGCAAAAGAAACATTCCTTCTAAGTTATTTTTTGACATTAAACATTGTTATAACTTGATCTTTTTTCAAATACTTCGTATAAGACATAAAATCTTCTAGTTTAATGAAAGAGATACAAAAAAAATCATCTGACCAAATTTCATTTTACATAATAGCTTTACCAGTTTAAAATTCTGACATTCAAGTATAAAATTTTACAAATAACTACTACTATAGTACTAGACAAATTAGTAGACATTTCTAATGTCTATTGGTGTTGCCCTCAAAATGTAACAATAGTTTTTCCTTTTAACGATGACTTCTCCAAACATAAAAAGTCCAACTCCCAAGAACAGTTAGATGTTTGGATCTGTTTCAGTAAAGAAACCTCTTCAATTCTTTAGCTAGACTAGATACTAGATCTTCTTTTTGAGGTTGATAGTCATTCCTTTTTTAATAAAGCTGTAAGCCTTAATGAGGAATTTGGGATGATTTGGTGACAGGAAGGGGGAAAGAAATGAGAATGGTGTTGGGATCAAGCCCACCAAAGTGTGTGGGAAGATGCATGGGCTGCAGGCCTTGTGTTGCAGCTTTAGTCATCCCACCACACAAGTGGTGGTGGTTTAGAAGGGCTTCTTCTTCATCAACAGGACCAGGAGATGAGAACTACTATCTTCTGTCATGGAAATGCAGGTGTAGGAACAAGTTCTATCAGCCTTAGGATATTTCAAGTAGTGTTTGGGTGTAACTATTAACAGTGGGTTTCCTCTAATATTACAATATAATTGTCTCCTAGTATTGTTACTCCATTGCTCAAATCATGTGTCTTCAACAATTACATTGATCAAACATTGATATTAAGAAAATGAAACACTAATTGTAATCTATGAAGCACGAAAACTCTCGGGAAAGAGTATGTTTCTGTTTCGAAAACTCTACAGAAACTCTCCTGAAACTATCAATATAGTTGTATTTTTACTAAAAGAAGATGTTTCCCTTTTTTCGTTCCTCCATGATTTTTATGTTTCAGTGCAACATAGATTGTAATATGTGTTTTTTATTTATAAGTATAGATTTTTCACAGAGATTAAGAAAAAAGATAATGAGTTCTGTAAAAAAGTGTCATAGATTCAAGGTAATAGATGAAAACGTATGAACCAGAAGAAGAAAAACTAGAAAAACCAGTAAAGAGAAGATGAAAAGGTAGATAAACAGGAAAAAATATGAGAAAAAACTTACCATAGATGAAAATATTGCAAATAAAAAAACCCAAAGAGGAATATGTTGCAAACAAATACTGAGGCAGTATTAAGACCTGCTTATCAAACTTCTTCCTTCATATAACCTGCTTCTAATTTTACATTCAGAACGATCAAAACTAACATGCCCTTCCAAGTTCCAACCCAATGGCAAAACCACAGGTTCCAAACGTTGTCTGGTGCACGCATAAACGAAAACAAAAAAGTTTTACATTTCATGTTTCACATGACACAATTCAAAGTTCATATGATCCAAATCCAGCCAAGAACTGAGCCCGAAACCAAACCTATACCCAGAAAAACTGCCATCACAATGGCAGCTATTTCTGATTCAGAAAGCGGCACGGACTTGGGGGAAAGAATCATAAGAACACTGGTAAAGTAGCCATTGGTTACTCCCAGAGTTATGGTCAGAAATATAATAGGTGTCTCGGTCTTCAACCAGTTCGGGCCGTGGAGGCAGAGACTAAACAATGGGTACATCAAAACCCTCCCAACACAACCCCATGTTGCCTTCCCAATGCTCTCCACAACATAGATTCCCGTCATCGACTTCCCCAAGAAATCTGAAATGTTATACACAGAGATGAGCAGAATGGGGTACCAATCTTGAAGCATCTCCGAATGTATGTTCTCTGCGAGGAATCCCGGGAAGATTGACAAAGTGACAGTGTAAATCATGAAGATCCCGAAAGCGGGCCATCTGATCGCTCTTGCAACATTCCAGAACCTGGGCTTCGGGCTCGACTTCTGATCGACTTGGAGAAGCCTGTAATGCTTCTGCATCACAGGCAGCTTGTGGAGGAGGTTTGAACAGGCGATGCAACCCACCAGTATGGCCGTGCTCACTATGAAGTAGAAGTGTGCACTGGTTTTCAGACCCTGTGGTGTTTGGGGAAGCGACGCTTTTGTTATGACTCTCAATGCAGATATAAAAACCCCTGTTGATTTTCAAGAATGCAAAAACGAACTGATCATCAGAGGACAAGTGATAAGTTCTTGGACTTCTACTCTTATTAGTGTGACCTCTTGCAATAAAAAAAACATGTTGGTTTTCCAGAATGCAAAAACAAACTGATCATTAGTTTGACCTCTTACAATAAAACTTCAGTTCTTAACAGTAATCACGCTAAATTCTAAAGAGATCAATTTAATAAAATAAGTTTCCTTAAAACTTTATAGGCTGCAAGTTTGTATCTTTTAATTTTTTTAATATGGAATTACTTAACACCAAACCCATAGCAGTTCTTTCCCTTAGCATAATTTTCCTTTTTCTTACATATTAGCTTTGTACCTATAAATAAGACAAGTAAAACGAAGTATTATGAAACTTGATCAAACTAAGTTAGTGAATGTAACCAACCTGAAGAAGCAGTGCCAGCAAAGATGGCTTGCATGTACTGCTTAGGCAGCTTCCCAGCAGAGCCGAACAGCGTTCCACCAACCAAACCATCCCCTATACCGCATATTACCACCGATAAAACCACAGCAGAGTACGGAGCAGCACACTTATTAGTCAGCTCCTTCTTCTTGAGCCACCAATCCATGGTTGGAGTGAGCATGAGAGACAGAACAAACATGGAAAACCCCAAGTTCATTCTGAGCCTGAACCAGCTTCTTGTATTAGTGTTATGCCTCCCAAATCCCACAAGCACCATAACCATGGTTGCCAGGGAGGAGCTCATGTACGCCACGGAGAAGACCTTCTCGACGTGCAGGCCCGGGTAGCAGTACTCAAAGTAATCCACAGCCGTGATCAGGGCGTTCCACGCCAGCAGGCTTCCTGCACCCAGCAGGAAGTGGATTGTGTATGCAAGCCTATAGGTGTCTCTCGGCACCTCGACTTCTTCTTTAGCTCTACTCTCCATTCCTGCAAATTTCGCAGCGTCCATTCTACCCAAAAAAAAAAAACTTCACTATCTTTCTTTCACACAACAAGCTTAAATAGTGGTGGGGAAATGCATACCTGCTACTAAACGGTAGAACAGTTTGCTAGAAGGTAAATTAAACTATAATCACAGTTTAATTGATAGGAGTATAACTCTGAGTATATAACTGACACTTAGAGACACCCTTTATTGAACAAAGTTCGGCATAGGTGTCCTGAATAAAACTCGGGTTATCACTTTCTTCCCACCAGTTGAGCTATAATTATCGACTTGACATTTGAAAGATACACATGCATTTAGTACTACTAGTACTTTTTTAGTGTGAAATGACTAGGGAGGAATAGGTAAGTTGAACCAGGTGTTTGTTTCTGTCATTTTAATGCAAATAAGCTGTTATATTCCAGAGAGCAGTTGATTGGACTAGAAATGCATGTAAGGCTTGGGAATAAAATTTTGGCATATATGTTGTTTTGGAGATGGGAAAAGAAGGTGTTTGTTTCCTTTTTATGGGTGGAACTAAAAATGGACGGATGGTTATAGTGGGGCACATGCTCGATGGGAATGTTGCTGTACGCCCGATTTATACGGAATACTTGTGTGAAAAGCTTTTTCTTTTGCCCTCTTTTTTAGACTAAAAATGTCCACAACCGATGGATTGTATGAAAAGCTTTTATATGCATTTTATATTTTATAAATAAAAGATGTCCATCATGAAGAAATCCGCAGCAGCATTTTAAACTAGTTAACATTGGTAAAAAATAATCCGTGATTGAGTGATGGAAGAATTGCATGCATGGTGGATCTTGTGTCACTTTTCTTGGTCAATGAGAATAAAGTTTGGATAATGATTTTAGTTAAAGGAATTGCCCTAAATAGGAGTAAGAATGCTTGTGAATTACTACGTACAAAATATGATTATTATATTTTTGTTCCTAAATAGGAGTAATTATTGTCTTTTTTTTTTGCATTACGAGACTCTAAACATGAAAGTGTTTTCCAAGCTTAACGGTAATTACTTCTATTGGGAAAATAAAAACATGATAGTTCTATTTTGGAATTCCAAAAACGTTTTTGCTCTTATTTTAGGAATTTTCCTAATAGTTACTTCACATTGTATATGTGTGAAATATATAACTTTTATACTTTATGAAAGTATTTTTAACAAAGAACATTATTTTCATGTAGTTTTTATATTTTAAAAAATCCTTATAATTTTTATCATCAAATCCAACTCTTATATTAAATCATTATGAATCGGATTGTTACAACAAACTCAAATAGATCAACCCTGACAACAACTATTCCTAACCAATTAGCACAATTAACCCGGCTAGACTCTGAGATGATCACCCCTAAAAGAACAATACGAATCGCTAACCACCAAGCGGGTGTGACACAGCAATCACTGACCATATAGATCCTTTGAACGACATAATATCTAACAGAATTGACAATCATTATTGTAGACCTAAAATTAAAGTATCAACAAAAAATGAAGCATCGTAAACAAACATAACACGAAAATAAGACCATAAAAATAGTATAACTGACAAATACTCCAAACTTCTTCCTGCCTATTTTCTTGGAATATCATATTCCAAACCCTGGCATCTCGGTCAATCCAAGGAGGTGGTTCAGGAGGGGGATGGACCGCCGATCTGTATTCTCCCTTGCTCAGACTTTCATCGATCCCCGTCTGTTCATCACCCGTGCCGTGGGCCGGAACCAAAACTGTCAACCCCTGAGCCGTGGCTAGATTGTCCAACATATTGACAAAAAGACACTGCAGTGGAGTGGACGAGGCATTGCACTTGTGTTCTAGGATTGTGAAAGGTCTATGGATCAAATCCCAGTGTAATTATTTTTATATTTTGTTTTACTTGTGTCTTTTTTAAGCTCTAAATTAATTCAAAATGGCTTTAAATAGTTGTATTCAAATTGTGGTGATGTACCATTAAGCTCTCTAGTGCATGGTAGGAATCACAATTTTGCTATGGTAACTTTCTCATCAAATCGACCCATCATATTTAATTTCTTGCCTTTTGGTTTCATAGAAAATCTCATTTGATCTTGTATGTAATTAAAATTGTGATTTCTCAATTCAAGATATTATATTCTAGAATAAAATATATATGTAGTTATTCTAGATGATGGATGCAACATCTTTCGGAGACTTTCGTTTTCTCATTAAGTGCCCCTCCAGAGTCTCCGAGCTGGTTCCGCCAGTGTCTATACCTCACCTACGAATAAGGGACTCTTTTACGTAACCTACGAATGTCGTCCTAGACAGCCACTTGGGTCATTCTACATTTATGACGTGGTTACATGTCATCATCCGTGTATGGCACACTTATGATAAATAAAATTGAGAGCCCGTTTAGTAGCACGAAAATCGGCTGTTTTGGCTGCTTCTGTTGAAATTTCTGAAGTTCTGGCTGAAGTGGCTGCATTGGCTGATTCTACTAATTTAAGAAACAATTATTTTTAAAATATATTTTATTAATAAAATAAAGAAAAAATTATATGTAAAAATAGGTAAAATGATCATCTACAGTAACTTCAGCCAAAACAGCCAGAAAAGTAACTTCAACCTTACTTTTTCTGCTTATTACACAACTCAGAGTGCGAAAGCAAAAATTACGTGTTTGGTGAAAAAGTTGGCTGATAAGTCTGATAAACCGAAAAACAATGCTGCCAAACGGCCTCTGAATTTGTCCAAATATCAATTTTCCCCACGAGTAATTTGTACATAATTTTATGACAATCGAACCATGATATAAAGTTGTGTTTTTTGACAACCCAAAACTTGATTCATTTTGTTATTAATAATGTGAATAATACAATGAGGAATATGAAAACATGAGAAGATTCTTGGGCTTCATTTGGATGAGCTTCCGGGCGTAACGAGGCGTTGCATTCCTAAGCGGGTGATTGCATCACTCGACATTCTGTGAACCCGTTTATTTTTTAAAGCTTTTAGATTGGCTATGAAAGTATGAAACTAGTGCTTATTGTTGTAAGAAGTGTGTAATCCGATGCTTGCTGATTGTTTTTTCAAGGATATAAAGTGCTACTTATTATTGTAAGTTGTGCTTTGAATATTGAACTTATGTGCATAATTTGTAAATTTATTAGCCAATTTAGTGATCCTCTATGCTAAATTATATGAAAAATGCTAGAGGTACACGTTTTGTGTACACGTTTGGTATACACAAAACGTGTACCTCTAGCATTTCTCAAATTATATTGCTAAAACTCATATTATTAAACTATTGTTGGATTTGTTGTGGTTGTTACTAGTATAGACTATAGAGTAATGTTAATGTCTCTTGTATTATAATCGCCACATAAACTTCATGAAAATATTATCATAGAAACCTCTACCGATAACACCCATTCACTTTAATACTGATCTTATTTGGGTTGAAATCGGACAAGACCAGATTGAAAAATAGATCCGGACAGATCTGGATCAAATAGGTCCGATCTCATGTCTATGACAAAAGGTAATTTGAATCCTGTTTGGTTGAGTTCTATTTTGAACTGGTTGAACACGCCTAACTACAACTAATGAAATGCTCTTATATATAAATGAAGTAAGAAGAAGTGTGTAATTTTGGATTTCGGAATGGATCTTATGGCAAGGGGGCTTGACTATTGTAGGCATGAGTGAGTGTGTTGACAGGTGGTTATATTGCCTTGGGAAATGGGAGCCTAAACTCATTTCTAATTGGAAAATGCTATGTGTACACAGCATTGTACACACCACCCTACACATCATAAAAAGACCCACACCCTCTTTCTAACCCACCCCACTTTTGAATTAATCCACCCTCTCCCTTTCTCCTCTCCCCTTTATTCCCAAACGAAAATGCCTGTGCAGATAACAAATTGTCTGTCCAATTTTTTCATTTGTTTGTCATCCCTTGTCTCTCTCAACGAGCGGCAGGAAGCGAGTAAGACGTATGGCGGCGGCGGCGGCGACGACGACGAACTTGGCCTGGGCTGGAATCAAGGGAGGATATATTCGGGCTGAGTTCCGGGGACACGCCATCTGCGATGGAAGCTTTCTCCCTGCCCTTTCTATGCGGTAAGCTCTCCTTCTCCCTTTCTTTATTTTCTTTTCATTCTTCTGCAACAGCTCCTCTCTTTTTCTCTCTTTTTTTTTCATTCTTCTCCAACTCCACATTCATTCAATTTTTATTCAACTGTACTTTTTCATTTTTATGCCTCTAAGATGTTTGTTGAAATGCTCAAATGAACTCTTTTATTTATAACCATGATTTTTTTGTATTCTTTCCTTTTTTCTAAAAATATATTTGTATGCTTGATGGGTTTGTGCCTATAAGGTGTTTGTTGAAATGTTTCAATGAAATATTTCATTCATATCCATGAATTTTTTGTGTTTTTCTCTTTTTTTTTGTTAATGTGTTTGTGTTTGATATTGGTTTAACTGTTTTTGACTATTTAATTGAATATTATGATTCTTTGTTTGTTATTAAGATACTAGTCTACTAAGTGTTGTTAATATTTTCCAGAGATGTCTGTGTAGTGTGTTCTTATATGTTTGTCCATTTTTTAGTTGTCTATATAGTTTTCCTGAAATGTCTGTGTAGTTTGTTGTTATACGTTTGTGGATTTTCTAGTTGTTTTTATGGTTTTCCGGAGATGTTTGTGTAGTGTGTTGTTATATGTTTGTGCATTTATTAGTTGTCTATATAGTTTTCCTGAAATGTTTGTGTAGTTTTCCGGAGATGCTATGGTCCACACATAAAGCTGCCAATGGTGTATTACTCTTGTTGATGCGTTCTTGAGAAGTTGGAGCGGTGACGTTCAGTTATGACATTTTCTGTCATGAGGAGGATAATCCTTGCCACCAAAAGAAAACAAATGTCTCCAGGAAATATGGTCAAAATCAATAGGAAGCTCAAAAAAGACATGATGATGAAGGATCAAAATCAGTAAATGAGTTCAAATGGTGGTGTATGTTTAGCTTTGAAAATGAGTTCAAATGGTGGTGTATGTTTAGCTTTGAAAATGAGTAATGTTGTGTTGTAATATTGGTAACTGTTTATAATTAAAATATGTGATTCGTTACAGAAAACGTCTATGTGGTATATAAATGTTGGCTTCTTATATCTTTACCGATGTTAAATGTATTAAATTAGGCGGGTGAAATTTCATAAACAATACATGTCCAAGATGGTTGCTTGTGCAAAGAACAAGT